GGATCGAATTTGGGCCTAAGCTAAATTGAGTAAAATCCTTTAATTTTTATCGAATTTTTCACTTTCACTCATCAAATCATACTTATTTTACTCCTAATTAACCAATAATTCATTAATTGTGTGGAAAAATCAAACCTAAAAAATTTGGATTTTGGGCCGAATGCTTCCCTAAGCTATTCCATGAAATTTCATCAATTTTCATGTAAATTTTGATTCACAAATATCAATTCACATCTAATTAACATATAATCAAACTATATAACAACAATTAAATCAAAAGATAAAAAACTCCTAATTTTCTATTTTGGGCTAAATGTTTAGTGCTTCCTAACCCTCGAAATTTTTTATTTCTAATCATCAAATTTGAGCCCAATTAGCATGATTTAACTTCAAGTATATACAATTTTAGGTTAAACTTATTTTTTTTCAATTTACCCTAACTAAGAATCATAATCCTAGTTTTCACAATTTATGCAATTAACCTAAATTGAAACATCAAACACAAAATTAACATGAAATTGAACTTTCTTGTGGTATAAGTGAGATTAACATACTCAAATAAGCTCCAATTAGTCCTTGAAAAATTAGATTGTTTGAAGATTCTTTTCTTGCTCCCCCCCCCCTTAAATTTGGCCAAGCTCATCTAAATTTCTACTCATAAATTTTGAGCTTCCAACTTGAAATTAAGGTCTAATTAACTCGACTTAGGATGTCTAAAATTTGTTGGAAGGGTTTTGGGTAGAATTTGAGTGAAATTTTGGTAGCCTTTATTTCTCTAATTTCTTTTTACTTTTCATTTTTCCAAGCACTCCTATTGATAGGAAATTTTTGTGAACTTGTTGACTTAATCTCGACCCTTAATTTGGATAAATCTTGGCCCTTAATTCAACTCTTAATCTCTTTCTTTCATTTGGCTTAATTTCTATTCTTTTATCGTTTTTCTAATCTAAACCTTCCATCTAGCTTAATTAGAGCCACTAATTTAACCGAAAGTCAATTAATGCCCTAAGTCGGCCAAAGATGGAAGAAAAATAATGAATTTAGTCCTTCAATTTCCGGAGTTTTCCATTGACTAATCTTTTATAAATCCTCCCTTTTCACCATTAATCACTTTAGACCCTTCTTTTCAAGTGTTTTTGATAAAATTTTGACTCCTATAGGTCATAAATAATTTAATTTGAAAGTTCAAATTTTTAATTTTATGTAATTAAGTCTCTAATTTTATGCAACTAGGTTCCTAGGTCTAAAATTGCATCCTATATCTTTCCAAAATTCAAATTCTTTTTATAATAAATTCAAATACTTCCTAATAGAATTTAATCATCATTCAAATAATTTTTATACACTTATTTAGGCCTTCAAATTAATTATTTAGGGTAAAAATACACTATTTCCTATAGAAAATATTCCTTATATATAAAAAATTCATTGAAGTTTATTAAATATTCCTACACATCCTAAATGACTTTTTTATGCCCTTTGAATAATTTTCTTATACCTTTAAAGTACTTAAATTAAATAATTTATCTCAAAAATACTATTCATATGCAACAAAATTCAAATAAAATAATTACGAAATATAAAAAAAAATTCATCCAATAATATCAAATAATCCATGACCCATCTAGCAAATATTATATGCAAACAAATTTTTTTTTATGCATATTTAACATGCTTGAATTAATTATTTATATAAAAAGTCATTTTTCATGCATCGAAAAAATCATAATATATTCACCGAGCATGGAAAACTATTTTAAATATTCTAAATACTCTAACACCATTTTAAGATTATTCCATGCTCATAAAATGTTTCTCATATGCTTTTGATACTTTTAAATTTATTAAATATAAGTTTTAGTGGATATCGGGTATTACATATGTATTTTACTCTTTCATTCAATATTACTTGATAAAAACTCAATAAGGTGTTTTGTCATACAACATATATGCGATCGGTGTTCCTTTATGCGATACAAATAACATTCATTTTCGAAATGATTGTTTTATCATTTATATTTTTAATTATTTTATCATACTTTTTTCATTTTTTGGTGGTAAGATGTATTATCATGATCACTATAGTTTGTCCATATCTTATGGTAAGATGTATTATTATGAACATCAAGGTTATACGATAATTATTCCAACCACGATAATGGTTATGGCTACAATCACATTTATATTCGAAATTATCATAAGTTGTCATGTTCACTTCGGGGAATGGAGTAGAACTAGTAGGACATAATTCATGATTTTTCATCATTAGGTCGTTATTTTGTCTAGAAACATAAAATCAATTCATAATATTTTTTAAAATATTTTTTTTTATATTTCTAATGTAAGAGCATATTTGAAGCATGAAAAATAGATAATATTTTCTTAAAATCAAGCTTTTATAATCAATAATTCTTATTCGAAATATCAAGGGCCACAAAATCAAGTTTATGAGAATTGATATAATAAAAATTCTATAATATAATATATAATAATAATGTTAGAAAATAAGAACAAATATAATAATAAAATTAAAACTTTTCAAACAATATAAAATAAATCATTAGATTTTATGTATTAAATCATTCAAATTTCTTAAATGTATACTCTACGTATTATTAGATTTAAAGTAAAAGGTAAATTAGATGTATAACTCTTGATGATCTAGATAATTTCAATCTTTTAGTAGAGCACTTGTGTAGAAAAAATCTAATTATTGAACCTAATGATTAAGTTTTTTGGTAGATACATGCATTATGATCTATTATCTTGATTAATTAAAGTTTCGTGTTGATAATGTGTTATAAAAAAAATGATAACAATAATAGAATCAAGGAGAAAGATGATAGAAGAATGAATTCACTACAAAATAAAATTAATATAAGAGATAATAACTCCAAATAATTCTCGTAATATCTACAAAATATATATACATAAAATAATGAATAATTAATAGGCTTCAAGATTAGGAAATAATTAAAAGAGACTATAAACTATTAAAAGCATATAAATAATTGAATTAATTGTATAACTCTTTTAATTTTTCATATTAAATATTAAATTAAATTACATTATTTAAATAATGAATAATAAAAATATAAAATAGATATTTATTATTTCATATTAAAAAACTATGCCATTATTCAAAATATCTTAATATATTATATATATTAAAAAAAGCCCTCAGTTTTTTAATATAAACGAGTGGCACTCAACTACCCAGTAACCACCCACCGTGGAAAATATGCAGGGATAGTAGCCAGTAGAGTCCAGATTGTCACGGATCTTCTATTTCTTTTTCTCCTCCTCTTCCTTTCACAAACTCACAAGATTTTTAATTCAATCTACTCTGCAAAACTCAAATCTACTCTATACTGTACTCTCTACTACTTATACTGCATAATAATTGTCGTCATTTTCTTCTTCTTCGTCCTCCTCCTTCTCCAGAAAATCAAATTAAATCAAATTGAAATATGAGCGTGACTGAGTTTGCTATGGTATTAAAAATAAATACATAAATTTTCTGTCTCTCTAATTAATTGGTTTGGAATTGATAATTGTGAATGGCAGGTAGAGGAATTGGCTTTTCTGGTGCAGGACAATCTTCGTTGCAAACATCTTGTCTTGTCCATGGAAGAAGCCTTTCTTGATTTCCTTCAAGATGACACAACCGTCAACAGGTATCCTTGAAAATATATATATATACGCGCACACACACATACTCTTATTGTTTTGTTATTGAATTGCAGCGATGGTTTCTTGGAGCTCGAACCAATGGATCCATACAGTCGTCTTCTTTTGCATCGCCTTGCTGATATATTTGGGTATCTCGATATGTATTTGGGTGTTTATATTGTTTTTATTAATTAAATTAATTAATTTAACTAGTGTTTATTTTGGGTTAGATTCTCCCATATATCTGTTGGCGACGGAGATAATCGGCGCTTGATTTTGGAGCGGTGCCCAGAGACATCAATGTATGTGGGGTTTTTTTTTTTTTACAATTGCTTTTGTGTCATTTATGCTCTCCAGTCAACAGATTTTATGGTATCACTAGATTTTTATTCTGCTTGCTTTTTCTTATCATCATGTCTCTTCCCATATCATTCATAAGCTTCAAACTTGATTAGGTACTTGTTCAATCATTTGGCTGCTTATTATGGTTTGTAGTCTATAAATATTCTTTGTGGGTTTTCTAGATGTTGAAACGGATGTATCTAAAGGCAGTCAAGAAAAACGCAGTAATAATATGATAGTTAAGCAATCAAAAGTTGGGTACATATCAGAGTCATTAAAGAAGATTTCCAAGACTGCTTTGGGGCAATATGATCTATTTCAGTCAAAGACACTAGAATGACAGCAGATATGATCAACACAATATTGGGACAGTGATATAGCTTCATTGACGTTGCAGTCTTAGTTGAAAGACACGTAGTTCTATTCTTCTTCTTTTTTTATTCCAAGCATTTCAGTGAAGACATATAATGATGTTGAGGGTGTTGAGACGTCAGTACTTGTAACAAAAAATGCTGTGATCAAATTCAAATCGATGCATCTTATTTGATGCATGACCCACAAGAAGCTGTGTTCGTATGTTTTTATTAGGTGTTACTTTATTTACCTTTCTGTTATAGCTCAAATGCGTCCTTGTTGTCTCTTCAAGACTAGTATTTTAGAAGTATAGATATGGCCAATTCAAAATTTAGTAGTTATAATTTTTTATTTATACACTACAAGATTTTAGAGCAAGGTTTGTTTTTTGAGTTTCTGAATCTTTGGCATTGTTGAGCACATAATGACACTTGGAAAATTGGTATCATTTATTTTTTATAGGTCTCAACATAGTTCTACTTTGCCCAGGTAAATCTCTTAGTGAGGTATTTCTCTTGTGATAATTGTTGTCAGTATTCAAGTGTCAAACGATGTGTTATGGATGTGCTACAATAATAAGCATTATTTTACCCAACCTTTATCTTTAAAATGAAAGGGTGATTCTTAGTGATATGGGTCCAAACGAGCTTCATAGGAAAATCACGAAGGTGTGCCTTTTTGCCGGTCTGCTTCTGGTGAACCCAATTGATGAAACCTACCTTGAAGGGCAAATAAAATATGAGTTAGATACTTTGGAAGGTGCAAACCTTATGAATCCATCATAATAATAATTGGTTTTGCTCAAGCTTGTCAAGAAGAGTGAAGAGAAGCAACCAACAACATTAGCCATGTGTCATTCTGAATACATTGTTGAAGAAATCAGAGAAAACTTAGACAATGGGTCTTTAAAGGATGGAAAGGAACAACATATTGATTATCAAGAAATTCTAAGTAAACAATGCAATTGATGTTCAATTTGTGCCATTTATAATTTTATCTTTGAGGACAAATCTAGCCTTGAAAATGCATTTGGTTCCTTTAATAGAGAGGAGATTGTCAATCAAGTTTATGTTTTATGTTCAGTGTCATCCAAAATTATAGTTTTTTCTATTTACTCGTGCCAAATTCAAAGTTGAGCTTTTCTAATCATAGAAGAATGATGAAGTAAGTAGGAAAATTTCTTGGATTAATAGTCAGGTACTCTAAAATTTGTAATAGTTAGGGATTTTAGTTTGTTTCCTATTAAAGTAGTTTAACTAAGAGTTTATTCTCTTCCCAATTTAGTTGGATTCCATATCAAGGAATTCCTATTCCTAATTGCTGATTTTTTTAAAGGGTTTTGGTGTCAACTAGTACCACCTATTATTAAATTTCTATTTCCTTATAACTCATCAACATGTAAATCCTAAAGTAGTGGACTTAGGCCATTTGAGGGAGTCAAACAAGAAGGAAAGAGAAGCTCTCAATGATTTTCAAACTTCTTCAGGATTGCTTAAGCATGTCTAGCCAATTACATATTTTTCTTTGATAAAATTTAAATTCGCAAAACAATCTAAACTCTATTACAAGCATGTTTTTCCTACAACCTTCACCTGTATCGTACTCTATTAATCTCCAGATTCTCTTATTTTTGTTCTACTTGCTGCAGTAGCAAATTATCCTATGATTGCCTTGTGCTTCTCTCAGTGATCCCTTTTTATTTTTTAATTGCATATATTACACCTTTGACCTGACTAGTAAATGCTTCTGTATTCGCTTGTTTAGTGCCCTTTACTCTTGTATTTTGATTATTTATTTTGCTATGGCTTTTCTTACCCCCCTTATCTGTCATGCTTGCCTTGAGTTGTTTTCAACGTTCACCCAGTTGTCATAGTGATATTGTTTTGACAATTTGAAACTCTGAACTTTTGTTGGAACAATGTTTTTGTCTCATGCCCTATTATAAGTTGGTGTTTCACTTCAGAACTTCTATCTATTGTTTAAAAAACGTAATGGATATTTTTATTTTACGGATAAAAATCTTGAAGAAAAATATTAAATTACCTTTCTTTGTTTAATATGAACTCATTTCTCACTTGGGGTGCAGTGGTCATATATTTTCTTCTTTTAATGACCTTTTTCTTTTGCTGCAGACCCTCCATCCTTGTTAGTGACATCTTGTTCCACTATGATGAACCTCACACTCCGACAAAATCACATCAATTACTGAGGAGAAAAGATGTCCCCCCAGGTTAAACTGTTTTTGATTTCCCTTTTAAGATATTTCATATACAATACAATTATTGGGTATTTTGATATGGTAATTGAAAGTGTAGGTGTATTCCTATTAGAAAGGTAGATTCAGAGAACTATAAGGAATAGATGTACTAAAAAAATTTATTATAGCAACTATCACAAATCACCACAATATGAAACGATCTTTACACTGTTCAAATAATTGAGTTTTATTTATTTATTTATTTTTTTGAGGGTCTTTCAGTTTGGAAAGAGTGTAGCAATTAGGCAGACTAAGATGAATGGTGGTGAATTAGCTCAGCTTGTCCATATATTTTAGGCTCAGTCTCCAATCTATCTCTACAAGTTTAATTGCTTTGAATTTGTCCTTAAATATAGTGTCATTCTCCAAAGCCATCAACAGATTAATAGTGGCTTGAATCCATTACAGCTGGAATATGCCAGTTTTTTAGATAAACAGTTTAGTATTGTTGTCTGTATCTAATGTTTCACCCTACCTTTTTTTTTTTTTTTTTTTCCTTTCTTATTATTAAGATTTATGGGGAAAGCCAGACCTGTATCTCCTTTGTGGCATAGATTAGTGGCGAACTAATTTGTGGCTCAAATGAGAGTAGTTCATCTCTCCATCTATTGGTGGATTCTGGCATGCTTCTTTAAAATTTTGTAGCTCAAAACACAGCTATCTAAGCACACAGGCATTGATATACCACCATCATTATTAGAGAAAATTGATGAAAAGCATTTTTTATTGTATAGTGTAGGAAGTCGACATGTTCATTTGATTTTCACTAACTGAAATGATTTTCTTATTGGGAATTTCTTTTTAATGGGGAAAAAAAAAAACTTTGGAGTGGAATGCATCATCACTTGGAAGAGGTTTTATCATGATTATGGTCTTTCTATTCACTGTTTTTGTTTTGACTAAAATAAGTCTATCTTTGTGGATAGTATATTGCTTATCTTGCAACATATTACAAGGTTTGCTCTGCTTTTTTTCTTTAAATATTTTTTGAAAGATCATTAAGAGCTTAGTTTCTCTCCATTTAATTGTCAAGCTGCATCAGGAATACTCTTCCATCCTTCTTTGGGTTTTCCCTCATGTCTATTTGGCTATGTTTCAGTGTTGCGGGCAGTGTCACCTACATCTCATAATACATTTAGGGAGAGAGAAATAGCTTATTTGGCTGCTCGGGACCGTATTTTTTCAATGGATGTGGATGAGATGAGAGAACCTGTTAAGGAGAAGCCACAAAATGTTCTTGTGGTTGCCCATCGAATGATAGCTCATGCTTTGGGTCAAAACACCAGTCTGCGGAACCAAGGTGCTGCTGTTAGGGATGGTACTGGACATGCAGTGAAAACCAATGAACAGTTTGTTCAAGAAAAGAGCAAAATTGAACCTAATTCTAGCTCAAAAGCTTATCAAGGGATTGTTTTCGTGCCTGACAAAACTATCAATTCGATCAGTACAACAAAGAGCAATAATCAAGGATCTTGTGCTTCATCACAAGGTCAGAGGAATTTGCACCCAGTTTTGGTGGAAAAAAGTGGCACTTGTAATATCAACAAATCTCAGAATCGACCAAGCACAAATGGTATCAAGGACTACTCAAAAGAGGAACACCTGGGAGCTGCAAAGAGGATGTTTGCTCATGCACTGGGACGACACTTGGGCGATCATACTAGAAACAGTGATAGAAAGCGAGTTGATGAGTGAGGGATGAGCAGTCTCTCAATGTAAGGAATGGGTTTTTGTTTCTTTATGATTGATTCTATAAAATTCAGAGAGGAGCTCTAGTTTCCATATCAACCATCTGATTGTTAATGAGCCTACAATTGCAAGAACCTAAGATGATGTGAAATTGCTGTAGAACACGAGGTTTTGGAATTAATGATGACTGACTCTGGCATACGAAGGGATGAGGTGACTGATGTTTGATTCGGACTTGCAGAGCCAAATCAAGCTGGTACAGGAGGTGCATTAGCAGTTACTCAACCCCTTATAATGTGATGCATCTAAACCTGAACCATGCCTACTTATCATTTTTTAGATTAAACATAAAGTAGCTGCATGATTGCAACTTTAGGAGCTCCAATTAGTATTTTGACGAATTACCGTTTGGCTATATGTACAGCAGACCTTTAGTGTCACTGGAACAACGTCTTTTAGCATTTTTCTTCTTTTAATATAGTAGTGTTTCTACTTCTATCGAGTTTTTGTTTTTGATTGAAAGGTCTAGGCATTTTTATTTTGAGATTGATTTGTGCATCAACCGATGCTAAATTAATAAATTCTGCTGAATGTGATTTTGAACTCAAAAAGCAAACCTTCTTCACAATCTATCCTTGTGGTACCTGTATTAAGTTAAAAGATAAATAGCTCAATCTACATTATAAAAATATTATTAAATAGCGATGAAAATTAGACGAAAATTAGTTACAGATTAGCGAATGAACTATAATTATTATTAAGATATGGATTTTAGTGATGAAACACTAACGGATTTTTAAAGATGGACTTAATCCATTGTTGAGAGTGATTTTGAACTCAAAAAGCAAACTTTCTTCACAATCTATCCTTATGGTACCTATAGTAAGTTAATGATAAATAGCTCAATCTACACTATAAAACAATTGTTAAATAGTGATGAAAATCGATTACAGATTAGCAAATGAACTATGATTGTTATTAAGATGTGGATTTCAATGATGAAATACCGACGGATTTTCAATGATGGACTTAATCATGCTATCGAATATAATTATCAAATATTCATAGGTATTTTAAAGATGGTTTAGCAAGAAAATTGTGAAGGAAATCAGCGACGAAATTTCTATTGCAAATTGCATATTTTTCCTCATGCTAATATTGAAAAAAGAGCATTCAAAATCGGTGACAAACATAAATGGGTCGTTGATTAGTGATATTTAGCAACGAAATCATGTCTATCGTTAATCCTAAATCCCTTAACGGTAGATCCTTTTTCTTCTTTCATTATTTTTTCTTCCTCTCCCTCTTTTCCTCTCGTCGTTGCTAGCAATCCCCATCCAAAAGAACCACTAAATCCCACTCCTCCACTCCCTACCAATCTCCACCTACTCCACACTCGTTTTTTTCTAAAAAGTCATGAATTTCCTCCTTGTTCTTTGTCTCCTCCATCTCCTTTCTTGTCTCCAAAGGTAAGTTCCCTCTTTTTTTCCCCAGTACCAATTTGTTATTTTATTTAGTTGTTTGGTTAATTTCGATTAATTTTTTGATTTTTAATTTTATTTATATTTAATTGTTAATTGGTTGATTAATTTGTTAATTTGATTGTTAGGTTAATTAATTAATTAATTATTATTTAAATTTTAATTAGGTTTAAATTAGAATTAATTTAATTAGGTTAATTTGAGTTAGGGTTAAATTAATTAAGCTAATTTTTATTAATTGGTTATTTTTAAATTTATTTATATATAAATTGTTAATTATTTATTATTTAAATTTTAATTAGGTTTGATTAGGTTAATTTGAATTAGGGTTAAATTAGTTATTTTAATTTTGATTAATTTGTTAATTGTATTTATATTCTAATTTGTTAATTAATTGTTATTTAAAATTTAATTAGGATTGAGTTAGGGTTAATTTAATTAGGATTAATTTAATTAGGTTAATTTGAATTAGGGTTAAATTAATTAGGTTAATTTTGATTAATTTGTGTATTTTTAATTTTATTTATATTTCAATTCATTAATTAATTGTTTTTTAAAATTTAATTAGGTTAGAATTAGAGTTAATTTAATTAGGTTAATTTGAACTTGGATTAAATTAATTAGGTTAATTTTGATTAATTTATTCAATTTTAATTTTATTTATATTCCAATTTGTTAATTGTTAGTTAAATTTTAATTAGGTTTGAATTAGGATTAATTTAATTAAGTTAATTTTAATTAGAGTTAAATTAATTAGGTTAATTTTTACTAATTAGTTGATTTTTAATTTTATTTATATTGCATTATTTTTTATTTTTTATTTAAAATTTAATTAGGTTTGAATTAGGGTTAATTTAATTAGGTGAATTTGAATTTGGGTTCAATTAATTAGGTTAATTCTGATTAATTTGTTGATTTTTAATTTTATTTATATTCTAATTTATTAATTATGTGTTATTTAAAATTTAATTGGGTGTGAATTATGATTAGTTTAATTATTCTATTGATGATTGTTGAAGTGTGATGAGATACGAACTCGAGGGGTCGGATATCTTTAGGATTTGAGGAGAAATAAAGTTGGTTCAATGCTTTGCAATGGAGTTGGAAAGGCAAGTTTGAAATTTAATTTCAATAGATTATCCGAGGCAAGTGTCAATCTCGGTGTGCATAAATTGATTATTAGTTGATGTTTGTGTGATCATGATTAATTAAAAATGTTTGCATTTGTAGTGTATTTTAGATGTAGTTTTTTTGTGATTATTTGGAGTATTTGTTAATAGAAAAAAAATCTAATTTATGAGGGAGATTTTGCCAAAATTTTGTTTGTTTTTTTTTAAATTGAAACAATTTATAATGTATTTTCAGTCAAATTGTTTTTTATTTGTTGTATTTGTTGAACTCGTATCGGGTGATATTATAGAGCTATGATTATGGATCGAGTTGTTCCACCCCATCGTCCCATGTAGTTAGATCTCGCTAGCGGTGGTAGTGTTTGTGGCATTGATAGTGGCGGTGTTCGTAACCATGGTCATACTCATGTATCTAATCCTAATCACATGGCCAACACGTCCGCATCCCTACTAGATAATAAAGATAAAATTTTCATTTTTGTAACTATACATTTGTTAGTATAATCTAAAAAATAAATTTATGATTTAATATTATAATTATTTTTAATTATATAGGAGCGCTTGGAGTCACTGCAAGAAGTAGTTGCTAAACACCGAGTAGAAGGGTGATTCATCATCTCTAAACATTGATATGGCCAAGATATATCTCGTTGCCATAGGAGGAACGAAGAAGCGAGAGAGTGTATAGTCTCATATCATAAATGTCTCAATATTACTCCCATTCTAACACCAACTCGTCCTCTCGCCACATTGCATTACCCTAGTAGTAATGTTCAAGAGGTTACTCGTTTAGTACGAAGATAGTATTCGAGGGATAAAGGTTGACTATGGTTGGTAGTTTTAAGAGCGAGGATGATAAATTGTAACATCTACAGAGTTAGATGGAAACAATGTAGGTGGCATTATGAGAGCTACAACGGACTTACGTCCCTCATGCCGACCTCTCACTACCTAGGAGTCGGCCTTTCCTCTCAATACCCAACGATCAAAAAATGATGGAGGAAATGATGATGATGAGGACTAGCTTATATATATATATATATATATATATATATATATATAGGTTTTAAATGTTTTCATATATCTAAATGCATTTATATATTTAATTGATTTGAATTTATTTTTAAATTTTATTAAATAATATTTTGTGTTATAATAAGGTGTTATTTTAAAATAACGACGAAATGATCATTAACGACCAACACTTTTTGTCACTAAAAAATAGCAATGATCATTTTAGTTTTAGAATAATTTAGTCGCAAATTTGTGACTAAAAATTATTAGCTACGAAATATTGATATAGCGACAAAAAATTATGTTGCTATTTGACATTTTTTTGTAGAGTCATCTTTATATAATATTTTGAGTCTCTTACATGTTCTTAGGCTTTTAATTTTATTTATCTTCTTTTTTTAAAAAATTATTTAAATGTTTAATTTTTCATTTTGTATTGTGCGGGGCATATGATTAATTTTTTTTTTATTGAAGTATCTTTGATTGGAAAAATAAAAAGCTGACTTAAAGGCTCATATCGTGCACGTGTTGAACTCACATGCACCAATTTTATGGGTTTTGATAAATAAAATCAAAACCCCTCATTCTTCAATTATATATTTAAATCAAAATCCCTAATTCTCCAATTATATATCTACACGACAAAAAGGTAAATGAAGAGACCAAAAAATCTAAGCAAACTTAAACCAAAATTTGGCAAAACTCAAACTTCGATCATGAACCTAGTTATGAAACCCATAAAAATTGTGTCATGAATTATGTTTATTCAAGTTTTAGGATGCAAATATGCATTATAAGTGTTGGTTGTTGTGATATAGGAAGAAAGGTGCATGATTTTTTTTGTTAAACTAATGGTTATTAGTTAAAATTAGTTGTAAGATTTTTTTTCACATTAATCAATTTAAATTATTTTAGGTACTTTTAATAATTATAATGTTGTATGGATATGTATTTTTGTTTAAGTTGAGAAAATACAACCAAATTTCTAGGTTTTAATAGAATGATTTGGAGACCAAGTAACTAAGTGCATTTCGAAGGTCAAATAATTAGAGAAAATAGTATGAAGTATTACATTAATGGAGAAATATGAAATGTAACTAGTGTATATCTTGAATTAATTAGTCTTTTTGACATAGAGGATGCTTGTAAGAAGTTACCTCATTTTTTGTTGTTGTAAAGATGCAATGTATGATGTTAGACATGGTATCCTTGGATCCGTCTTGTTGAAAATGATAGATAGGTTCTTCAAATGGTTGAAATGTATAGGGTTTATAGGTTGACTAATATAGTGATATATGTTGAGTTTAAATTAGAAACTCCTAACTTAGAAGCAATTAGAGATGGATTAGTTGGAGAGAATAATGATTTACCATCCCAAAGTCATTTAGAATAACCAACACTAATGGTGATGTTGCTAGTGATGTGTTGGCTAGAAATGGTACTGTGAATAGATTTGTTGAATATGTTGAGATTGGGGTAGATTATAATGAAGTGGAGCACTACTACACATATAATAAAGATGATGATATTGAAGGTTTTTAAGTTGATAGACCTAAATAGAACATTATCATGGATGGTGAAGGACATGATGATGAAGATAATAAAGATGATGGGGATAATAAAGATGATGATGTCGAGTTTGATGGTTGTTTCGTTGAATTTTATGAATAAAATGTTGAAAGACTTACTAATGAGTCTTGTAATGATAAGGACTTATTTGGCATACCTGTTAAAGTGGTGTAAGGTGCAGTTGTAAAAGAAAATATTACAAGAAAGGCCAAGACACCAAGGCAAAATATTAGAGATACTATGCATCAAGAAGAGTCCGACAATGAATCGATGTGGGTAAAAGTGACGAGTTAGCATCCTTATTCAATTATGCTTATGAGATTAATAGGGTTAAAAGAGTTGGAGTTAAAGAGTTTGCATTGAGAGAGATATGAAAAATTCATATTTTGAGATAGGTTTGATATTTGCTGATAGAGATGTATTTAGGAATGCATTAAAAAAGTATTCTATTAATATATGGAGGGATTTTAGGTATATAAAGGTGCCTTGGTAAGGGTCATTGTTGAATGCAACCTTAAGTATATAGATAGATAGAAAGTTAAAACATATAGGAGGAAGCATCACTATAGCAAGCATTTCAAAAATAGAAACACATAAAAGAAATGGCTATATGGACATATATGGAGCATTTCATGGATGAAAAAAATAGAAGTTAAAGGCTTTTGTGAATGATATTGGTAGAGAGTTTAAAGTTGGTGTATCAAGATCAACTACTTATAAAGCATAAAAGTTAGCTATTGAGAAAGTTCTTGAAGATCATAAGAAATAGTTTGGAAGATTATAGGAGTATGCTAAATCTTTAGGATCAACCAATGCTGATACTTATGTGAAAATTCTAGATTTTTACCTACATAGGATTGAATCCAGTTTTTAAGGATTTGTTTGTGAGCCTTGTTGGTTAATTTGAAAGACTACAAGGTTGTAAGACATTGATTAGAATTGATAGCATTTTTAAAAAGGCCTTATGAGGGTCAAATTTTAAGTGCGGATGTAAGGGACTTATGTCATAGGTGGATATTAGCATAACAAGCTAAAAATATGAAAAAAAAGTAGAAAAAGAAGTCTTTACCTAGTATTAACGGTAATTAGAAAAACTAAATGACCAAGTATGTTTAAAGATCTTAGGTAAAGAGTTGGTTACGTGAAGAAAAGATAACAATCTTTCAATGTCTTATTTGAGATAACCTACATCACATAGAAATCTCAATATCAATTATGGTTTTTATTATAATGAAAATCTATACCTATTTGGATGTGTTTGCTATCAAGTCGGAAAATAATCAATTGAGTAATTTAGAACTTAGGTAGTCAAATGCCTTATCCTTACTATAAAGTTAATAGGTATTGAACTCAAAAAAAGTACACATGGGATTAAATCCAATCAAATAATCAAATGGGCCCGAAATCCTTGCTCACACATATCAAAATGAAATAAAAACCACAACTTAATTAAAAGCAAAATGAGAATAATTGACATGAAAGATCATGATTGATTTTAAATTCATAACATGAAAGACTATGACACTAATTAAAGTACATGACATGAAAGCCCATGTATTTATGTGTGACATAAAGGAACATGATTTTGATTAAAATATGTGACATGAAAGACCGCATAGGAATACATGACATAAAAAACTATGACTTTTAATTTAGGCACATGACATGAAAAACCATATATAGATGTGTGACATGAAAGACCACATACAAATATGTGACATAAAAGGTCATGATTTTGATTTAGGTGCGTGGCATGAAAGACCAATTATAAATGCATGACATGAAAGACCATGATTTTAATTAAAATACATGACATAAAAGACCATGTGTAGATGCATTAATCAAAGATCATGACTTCGATTAAAAATACGTGACATGAAAGGAAAAATAAGTTAAGCCATCATTGCTAAAATTTGAAGTTTTCTCTTTTCTTCATTCAACTATCATCTTACTTGAATAAGTCCAAGGTTCTAGCCTTACTACTTTCATTGTGCTTATCTACTTGTTCATTGCAACTTATGGTTATGCTTTCAATTCTTATATTCATTTTAGAGGATAGTTTAACCATTATTATCATTATTTGCTTAATGTCCACTCCTTTTGCTTGGATGCAAAAATTATTCATCTTCTCATGCTCTCTTGGGTATTACCCCCAAGTGCTTAGACTATTGCCGAGTTAAATTAAAATACTTTGACTAATATGATTGATGTAGCCTTCATTTACAACTCGCTCACAATTCATCATACAATCTTATAAAATTTTCATGAAGAGCATCTTATGATTTATCAAGTTTTTGTAAAATCATTATCACACTATTTCCTAAACTTTCAATAGGTTATTACATTTTCATAAATAATATCAATATAAGATCATGCAGATGATCAAACAAAGGCTTCTTTAGTAATTGATCACATTTTGAATGTGAAATCAATCAGATTATGCAAGACAAGTTAAATATAAAAGAAGTAAAGTAAAATGATAATGCTAAAGAATATTTAGTCATAACTCAAAATGTTCTTTATTGCTTTGGATGAAAAGAGTTATCCCTTCACACATAATATTTCTTTTCTATAGTAGAATCACTAGCATAAGTAGCTCTTTACTATCCATGTTCATCAAGATAAGAGCTTCCCTTGAAATGCCTTCTTTACCATATAAGGACCTTCAAAATCTAGTGCCTATTTGTTATGATCTACTCTCAAGATTGTTAAAAGTCTTTGAAGCTCTAGATCTCCTTCTTGAAAGATTATTAAATGAACCTTCTTATCATATGTCCATGCGATTCTCTTTTGATATAGTTATGCATGATAGATGGTTGAAAGTCATTTTTACTAATTAGATTTAACTATTCATGTCGAATCTTAACCCGTAATAACTCACCTAACTCTACCTCTTTCAAGAATCTTAACGATGGTATCTCTACTTTAAAGACATTAGTTCCTCCATTTCGTATACCAAAGAGTAAAAAGTTACTCTAGTTGATGTCCCGACTGCTCGCTCGGTAAGCTTATAGTGCAAATACTAATATTTCATGCCAATCTCTATATCACTATCTTTTGTATAATTTTCTTTAAAATTTTGTTTGTAGCTTTTATAACCCTATTCATATTAGGTTTGTATCACGAAAAGTTTTGATGCTTAATCTTTCAATATTAGCATAGCTTCATGATTGTCTTGCCATTAAAACTCTATGTATCATCTATTATTAGAGTTTCTAGAGAATTATATATGTAAATAATGTGTTTTTTAACAAATCAATGCATTATTCTCTAGATAACATGTGTAAAGAAAGTAGCTTCCGCCAGCTTTATAAAATAATCAATTACCACCATAGTTAAATGATGTTTATTACTAGGCTTTGGATTTATCAAACCAATTATACCCATACCTCACATTGCAAATGAATAAGGTCATACAATGTTGTGAAGTGGTGCAATATGAGCATTTATCTTATTAGTATAAATTCAAAATTTTAGATTTTTATGCACATAATCAATACAATTTCTTTTCATGGTTGTCTACAAGTATCCACTTTTTTTTTTAAAAAAAAAATTGATGTGTCTATTAGTATGAGAAGCACAAATTCCTTTATGGATTTCCTCAATTATTTTTCTTGCTTTTACTAAATTTAAACAAAGCAATAATATGCCATAAAATCTTCTTTTGTATAATATCCTACCATCAAGATACAAATCCATCGTCAACCATTAGAGTGTCTTTCTATCTATCTTCAAATAATTTGGTGGCCATTCTTGATTCTTAATAAACTACTTAATGTCATAATACCATGGCTTTTCGTCAATATTGTCTTTAACTATGCAAAAAACGAGTAAGACCGAGCATTTTTGGTTTTGATGCATATTGGCTGCATCTTTATATCATTTTCAATTCTAGTCATTGTAGCAAGAGTAGCAACAAGATGATTCTTTTTCCTACTCGGATGAGTGAACTAAATTTCGCAAACAAAATAGCTAATTTTTTCAAATATTTTTAATATGGCTTCAACTTCTCATCTTTCGTTTGCCATTCTCTTTTTATTTGAAAAATTATTAATAACGAATTATGATACACATCTAGATTTTGATTTCTCATTTTTAGTGCTACTTTTAAACCATGAACACATGCTTCATTTTCTCGTTATGTTTGATAACGGATATGTAAAGACATTGCCAAACTAATATACAAAAGCTCAAAACAACCACAAATCCTAAATTCATAAGAATTAATTCAACAAGAAAAAACTCCCAAACTCTCATAATTCAACCCAAAAACAACACATAAACCAAATTTAACCCGACCAATAAATACATTGAAACAAACACAAAAACGTCACACAGACCTCGAAAGATCCAACAAATTCTAAAATATTGCAACAAATCAAAACACCTAGCTACACTTGTCGGATAATTCTAAAATTTTAACCACTTCTACTTAAGGTATAGAAGAAGTTATAGTTTTAGATCAATTTGATAATAAATTTCAATATTTTAAAAATTTACACTAAATCAACCAAAGAGCCAAACAAACCCTAACTTCTAAATTCTAAATGATCCAAAATATTATAAAGGATAAATCCAATGCAAAATAATTCCAAATAAAAATAAACAAAAAGTGTAAGTTTAGACTCAACTATATAGATGTCCGCACTTACATGGGATACATATGCCAAAACCCTAAAGATAAAGTCACACCACTTTAAGAAATTTTTGTAGATGATCAAAACACCACCTTAGTTGATTACTCTATATATATAGAAAGCTCATCAAATATTATACAAGGAACACAAATTTTATGAGAAAACTCGCTCATAAAAATTTATTCAATTTATCCAAGTCTCGTGTAAAAAATTACAAAAACAAAAAAGGTTTATATACTTACCCTTAATCCTTGTTAAAGAAACCCTAAAAAAATAAAACCCTAATCTACTTGGATTTTATAAGTTAAGTCCAATCCAAAATTAATAAAGACTAATTAATCTAGTTCAAATTAAATATGAACTTCTTAAATAGCTATAGACTTTTATTTAATTATAAATCCACAACCATTATAAAAAAAAGGCAATTAACGATGAAATATTTCCTTGCTAATCGATGAAATTCCA